GGAGGAGGGGGAGGGAGGAGGAGAGGGAGAGAGGGAGGGAGGGAGGGAGGGAGGAGGAGGGGGCAGGAGGGAGGGAGAAGGGAGAGGGGTGCGGAGGGAGATCGGAAAGAGGGGAGAGAAGGAAGACAGGAGGTAGATGTTCTTTTTCGTCTTTTTTTTAAATCGAGGAAGTCTTTGCAAAAGGATGTTGAAAAACAAAAAAAAAAACAAATAGAAGCAGAAAAAGAATGCAGATCGACATCGTTGTGGGATGGATTGTCTGTTTCTATTTCTGACGGAGAATTTTTCGAACGAGGACAGGGACACATGGCGACAATGCACAGAGGAACAAAAATCGTCATGTGAAAGGATTAAGGGCAATCCGATGTATCTTTCCACGTTCTAGTGGGAGACTCATTCCCGTTTTGCACATTTGGCGAGTGGTGCGGTGCGAATATGAGAATCTAGTATCGGGGCCGTCTGCAGTCCTACCAGTCCATGGCCTGGATCGTCATGAGTCTGAAGATTGTGCGGTAATTGGTGCCGCCCATGCGACACAGATGGGCCGACATCGCCTGGATCAAAGAAAAATTGGCCTACTACCCCAGGCCCTATGGGTGCCCAGCGAAAAGAGGGCCTGGCCGTGTGCCCCCATTACCGTGGTACCTGCCAGGGGAGAAGCCCTGATGAAGCCTCCATTGGACAACACTCTGCCAAAGCTGCTGCTGTGACTCCCTCTCATATCGCCTTGCCACTGGGCCGCCGCCTCGCCGTCGTCTGCTGAAATGCAACCCTCTGCTGCTGCTGCTGCTCCAACTGCATCACGGCACGGCATGCACACACTCTTCTGTGTGTGTTGTCATATTCGCAATACACTCAAAAAAAGCATGACTGTGCCAGACTGTTTCGTCGGACTTTCACCCACTCGTCAGTAGGTTGACCCTGGACAGTCTTCTGCCCAGAATGCATTTGACTGATGCATAAGGAGTATTAAGGACTCACCACATCGCCCAGAGTTAGTGATACCTTTTTGAGAGAGAAAGAGAAAAGTGGTCCCAACTTTACTCACACCAACCTTGCAATCCTAGCAGACTGCCGGTCCAAACCCCAGACAAGAACGACAGTAACTCTTCTGTGTGTGTGTGTGTGTGTGTGTGTGTGTGTGTGTGTGTGTGTGTGTGTGTGTGGCATTCACAGTTCCATATGTGTGTGTGTGTGTGTGTGTGTGTGTGTATGTGTGTGTGTGGCATTCACAGTTACATACGGGCCCCTGCAGGGCCCAACTGGTAGGACTGTCGTCTTCATCGATAGAACGCCCGGTAATTATCACCGTGTCTGGGCTGAAAGTTGTGCCTAATACAGCTATAATGACCGGATGTTCTATTCGGGTGAAGACGGTAGGGGTTAGCAGATTGGTCTAGGGGCTGAGGGACCAGTGTCGTGTCGGCCCGTGTTAGGGCCTGTAGGGTTAGCAGGCATGGGTAGTCTGTTACCTGTCCAGTTTAGGACCGGCGTCCGTTACAGGCCCAGTTAGTTAGGCCGTTGCAGGTTGCTCCAGGCTCTGGCACGTTTTCAGTTTGGCGCCAGGCCTTGTTTTTGTTTTGGCGCCATTTTTCAGGTTAGGCGCCAGTTTTGAGGCCGGACTTTGGTGACCAGCGCTATATATAGCTAGCTGGTCCTCCATCAGTCCGGCAGTCCGGTAGGTAGTATCAGTAGGCATTGTTAGTTGACGCGCTGGGCACTGTTAGTGGTTAGTCTACAGCGCGGGGTGCGCAGGGTTAGCAGCGTCATTAGGAGGTTCGAGCTTGCGCTGCAGTACGCTGCAGCGGGGGGGGTTGTGGAGTAGAGATGAGGCGGAGGCCAGGGGACTTACCTGACGACTTACCCGTGACGCCATAGCTCCAGCTTCGGCTTATGTGCGTTTTCACCTGCATCAAGGAGCCACCTTTCTGCAGTAAATGAGAGAGAGAGAGAGAGAGAGAGAGAGAGAGAGAGAGAGAGAGAGAGAGAGAGAGAGAGAGAGAGAGAGAGAGAGAGAGAGAGAGAGAGAGAGAGAGAGAGAGAGAGAGAGAGAGGAGACATTGAGACTTGGTGACTTTCGGGCTATGCCCGGTTCAGTGGCATTGCGACTTGGACATTATATGAGCAGCGAGATTGGGGACACACTGGAGACTGGGTTCATCGGACTATGGTGGCTGATCCTCCCCATCTCCTCTTCCCTCGTCTCTTCTCCTTCAGTTCGTCCGTGTATGGTGTCTGGACTCAGCGCCCCTTCCGTGATTGCAGCACTGAGTTCCTCTCACACATGTGATGATGATGTTCGTCCAGTCTTGTCATTGTCCCAGTTGAGTCAGATCTTGGTATTTCAGTTTTCCACTGTGCTATTTTGGCTCTATTGTTGTGAGGTCATTTTTGTGTTCTAATCTTTGCCATTAGGCATGCGACAGTGTGTGTGTGTGTGTGTGTGTGTGTGTGTGTGTGTGTGTGTGTGTGTTTGTGTTGTTAAGGCACCCCAAATTCTCTCTCTCATTTACTCCACAAATCATAACAAACCATCCATAACAAAAAAGTATAGATAGACAATATAATAGAAAATGGAAGGTTGGTCACGTTTGTGTGGTTCAGCGCCAAGTGCCCACACACCCGTCTGCTGCCGAAGCGGCACACTTGCACATATACATGATCCGTAAAAGGGCGGAGGGCAAAAAGCAGCTTACCTAAGACAGAGGACTCCACCAGCAAGAAAGCACGGACCCCATCCTCCACAGGTCCGAAAAGAACTTGGAGAGCCCTCCACGTCGGCCCACAAAACCACAAACCAACATAGCACAAAAGGCTCCACTAACAAAACTCGAAAAAAGCGTCGACCATACATGCCAATGGTCTAAAAACGTTTTAGAGCCCTCTGCGATGGTCTTACGACGCCACTACAAATCGAAAATACACGGCAGGACCTGCACGCAACACCAAGAGTGCCATGAATCTCCCCCTGTCGCACAAGCTGCAGAATCGGATGATGTCCTAGCGCTACAGCGAGGCCACTGCGAGTACTAAACCAGATTCCACAAGATCTCATTCAACACCAGGAGCGCTACTGCTTAAAACGCCCTTAAAGCTACCCCGTTCTTCCATGTGCTCCGTAAGAGCAGCCCGCGGGAATGACACCCACAGCAAACACTCTCTGAGCCTCCTCGCAAAGAGATTGTGGCCAAAACCGCAAACTCCCAACCCAGAAAAAAAAACTTGTGGCCACCCCCAGACATTTCTCCATCGGCAAAACAGCCAATGCTGCAAAGCTGGGCAAAGAATTAGGCCGTGTGAAAAAAAAGAAAAAAAAAAAAAAAAAAGAAAAAAGACACATCCATCCACAGAGAAAGAGTAGCTCGCTAGTTCGAGCCCGATCCTAACCGCTCAAATCTGCCAAGACAGAGAGTTACTGGTACCAAGACCGAAATGTGTGTTGTTAAAGCACCCCCAAATTCTCTCTCTCATTTCCTCCACAAAACCGTCTATAACAAGAAAGTATAAATAAACAGCAATTTCGTCAAAACGGACATTTCATATTTTTTGAACGAAATTGAAACCTACTTATTTGGCCCACAAAAAATCACCTTTTATCTCCTGAGGGTCCATTTGGACTGAACTGAAGTTCAGGTACATCCAAGGGGGACCCTAAGGGGCTAAGACGGCAACATTAAAGCACTAGTACCTTCCAATGCCAGAACGACGCTGGCCGGAGCTGGGGCTATGCCCTGTAACCTGCAAATGACAGGAGTGTGAGGCCTTGTAGAGAGATCTGGGGATTAGTCGAGGAAGGAAGACAATCCAGTGGTGAACTGGGGGGTGCCACCAGGACAGCCTATGGGTCCAGGTTTAGTCTAGGTGGCGAGAACAGGATAACTCTGGTTGATGTTGGCTAGGATGACATTGTCTTTGAGATTAATGTCCTGGCTCAGGGAGGGCTAGGACATTAATTCCACGATTAGAAGGCCAGATTTGCTGATAATATAGCATAGACTTCTAAAATTCTTCACATGCTAATAGTCATCATCATTAGTATCACTATCCCACATTTCTCATACAATCAGTAGAAGTTCATCATCATCATCAGCAGCAGCAGCAGCAGCAGCAGCATAATCATAATCACAGGAGGGACGCTGAGTGTGGCATACTGCGTGGCCACACGGWCCCTGTAGGACCCGTCCCGGACATTCAGCCTAAAAGCTTAAAACTTAGGATCTACAGGCCCCGGTTGTTTCAGCCTGAAAACTGAAAAACGAGGGCCTGCAGGCCCTACTCCGTTTCAGCCTATTTCTGGGTCTTTCAGACCCAGAGTTTTTCCAGCCTGAAACGGAGGGCTATTCTTAGGCCCTGGGCTATTTTTAGGCCCTCATTTGTTTCGACCTGCCCTAAGATTCAGGCACGA